CCCCAAAACCCCAAAACCCCAAAACCCCATATCCTTAACAAAATTTGTTAATAAATTTTTGACGAAATGATGGCTGCAGCAGCACAAGAACAACAAGTCCAAACCCAACTGAACCGGTATGTAGGAGGCCTAGAGAATGAGGGTCTTGGGAGCATTGGGAATAGGCTTATAAGATTTGTATAGATTCAAGAATAACCTTGGTGAACTATTGCAGCCTGGCCTTAGCCCTGATATCATGGATGTTGATTATGAGTTCAAAGATGATGAAGAGGATAATGTGGACTTCTTGCATATCGATCTGATGGACCTTTATCCCATTCTTAATAGTAATAAGAGATATATAGAAAAGCTGAAGAATTTTAGAAATAGTTTTCATAAAATATCTATGTTTTATCTTCTTCCAAAAGAAAGTGACTCAAAGAGAACCCTTCAGCTTAGAATTATACAACCTATTCTATCAAAAGTCATTCACAAAATTGAAATTTCCGATTTCACAATACACACTAAATGTCTCAAGAAAGCATTTGCTACTTTATATATAGTCAAAGACATAAAATTCAACTTCTGAGATCTGCACACCGCAGACCTTCTGCCCTCAGCCACTCAGATCCCGTACAAGACCAGCACTCTCTATTTGATCAATTGCAGGAACCCCTCTCGCTCGCTTGGATGCCCGAAGGAATTCGAAGATGTGTTTAACTTCGTCAGTCGTTGAGGCTTAAGACATTCCTTGGGAGAGATCATTGTTAGGGATATTGACAGAGACCAGAATACTAGTGAAGAGATGGTAGAAAAATATGGGTTGGAGAATATGAGCATTAACATGCTTGCTTTCGGAGAGACTTTTCCTAGAAGACAAATCAAGAAGAAGAAATCTAAGTGTATTATTCAATAGAGTTCCTAGAGTTGGAGTATGAGGGATATAAGGGATTAAGAAAGTCAAGAAGTAATTCTAAACCCTGAATAAAATCCCTAATCTCTTAAAGACTATTCCTGGTCCTCTTCTTAAAGGCTTGCCTTCAAGAAGAGAAGTCCTAGCCTTGAGGATGAAGGTTCTCAGCAAGAGATTTAGAGGAACGGGGGATTTTAGGGTGTCAAGGGAGTTGAGAATTAGGAAAAAATGGGGTATGAGAGGCCTAGAAAAAGGTTCAGCCTGTGCTGTAGACTAAGGGGTTTTGGGGTTTTGGGGTTTTGGGG